ATCTGGATGCCTTTTATTTCTGTGTGTTTTCTGATTGCTGTGGCTAGGACCTCCAGTACTATGTTGAATAGAAGTGGGGAGAGTGGGCATCCTTGTCTTGTTCCTGATCTTAAAGGAAAAGCTTTCAGCTTCTCCCTGTTCAGTATGATGTTGGCTGTGGGTTTTTCATATATGGCCTTTATTATGTTGAGGTACTTGCCCTTTATACCCATTTTGTTGAGAGTTTTTATCATGAATGGATGTTGAATTTTGTGGAATACTTTTTCAGCATCTATGGAGATGATCATGTGGTTTTTGTCCTTCTTTTTGTTGATGTGGTGGATGATGTTGATGGATTTTCGAATATTGTACCATGCTTGCATCCCTGGGATGAATCCTACTTGATCATGATGGATGATCTTTTGATGTATTTTTGAATTTGGTTCGCTAATATTTTGTTGAGTGTTTTTGCATCTATGTTCATAAGGGATATTGGTCTGTAATTTTCTTTTTTTGTGGTGTCTTTGCCTGGTTTTGGTATTAGAGTGATGCAGGCTTCATAGAATGAGTTTGGAAGTATTCCGTCTTCTTCTACTCTTTGGAAAACTTAAAAGAGGATGGGTATGAGGTCTTCACTAAATGTTTGATAAAATTCAGCAGTGAAGTCATCTGGTTCAGGAATTTTTCTCTGAACTACTTTTTTGATTACCAGTTCAATTTCATTGCTGGTAATTGGTCTGCTCAGATTTCCTGTTACTTTCTGGGTCAGCCTTGGAAGGTTGTATTTTTCTAGAAAGTTGTCCATTTCTTCTAGGTTATCTAGTTTGTTAGCATATAATTTTTCATAGCATTTGCTAATAATTCTTTGTATTTCTGTGGTGTCTGTCGTGATTTTTCCTTTCTCATTTCTGATTCTGTTTATGTGTGTGGATTCTCTTTTTCTCTTAATAAGTCTGGCTAGGGGTTTATCAATTTTGTTTATTTTCTCAAAGAATCAGCTCTTGCTTTCTTTGATTCTTTCTATTGTTTTATTCTTCTCAATTTATTTATTTCTGCTCTAATCTTTATTATGTCCCTCCTTCTACTGACTTTGGGCCTCATTTGTTCTTCTTTTTCTAGTTTTGTTAATTGTGAGTTTAGAATGTTCAAATGGGATTGCTTTTGTTTCCTGAGGTAGGCCTGTATTGCAATATACTTTTCTCTTAGCACAGACTTCACTGCATCCCACAGATTTTGTGGTGTTGAATTAGTGTTGTTATTTGTCTCCATATATTGCTTGATCTCTGTTTTTATTTGATCATTGATCCATTGGTTATTTAGGAACATCTTGTGAAGCCTCCATGTGTTTGTGGGATATTTCATTTTCTTTGCATAATTTATTTCTAGTTTCATACCTTTGTGGTCTGAGCAGCTGGTTGGTACAATTCCAATGCTTTTGAATTTACTGAGGCTCTTTTTGTGGCCTAGTATATGATTTATTCTTGAAAATGTTCCATGTGCACTTGAGGAGAATGTGTATTCTGCTTTTGGGGGTAGAGTTCTGTGGATGTTTGTTAGGTCCATCTGTTCTAATGTGTTGTTCAGTGCCTCTGTCTCCTTACTTATTTTCTGTCTGGTTAATCTGTCCTTCAGAGTGAGTGGAGTGTTGAAGTTTCCTAAAGTGAATGATTGGATTCTATTTCCCCTTTTAATTCTGTTAGTATTTGTTTCACATACGTAGGTGCTCCTGTGTTGGGTGCATAGATATTTATAACTGTTATATTTTCTTGTTGGATTGACCCCTTAATCATTAAGCAATATCCTTCTTTGTTTCTTGTGACTTTCTATGTTTTGAAGTCTATTTTGTCTGATACAAGTACTGCTACTCCTGCTTTATTTCTCCCTATTAGTTGCATGAAATATCTTTTTCCATCCCTTCACTTTTAGTCTGTGAATATCTTTGGGTTTAAAGTGAGTATCTTGTAGGCAGAATATAGATGGGCCTTGGTTTTTAATCCATTCAGTGACTCTATGTCTTTTGATTGGTGCATTCAGAGCATTTACATTTAGGGTGATTATGGATAGGTATGCTTATTGCCATTGCAGACTTCAGATTCGTGATTACCAAAGGTTCAAGGTTACCTTCCATACTATCTTAAGAGTCTAACTTAACTCACTTAATATGCTATTACAAACACAATCTAAAGGTTCTTTTTTTCTCCTCCATTTTCTTTCTCCACCATTCTTTATATATTAGGTATCATATTCTGTACTCTTTGTCTATCCCTTGATTTACTTTGGGGATAGTTGATTTAATTTTGCATTTGCTTAGTAATTAACTCTTCTACTTTCTTTACTGTAGTTTTATTACCTCTGGTGTCAGCTATTAAACCTTAGAAACACTTCTATCTGTGGCAGTCCCTCCAAAATACACTGTGGAGGTGGTTTGTGGCAGGTAAGTTCTCTTAGCTTTTGCTTGTCTGGAAATTGTTTAATCCCTCCTTCAAATTTCAATGATAATCCTGCCAGATAAGGTATTCTTGGTTCGAGGCCTTCTGCTTCATTGCATTAAATACATCATGCCACTCCCTTCTGGCCTGTAAAGTTTCTGCTGAGAAGTCTTATGATAGCCTGATAGGCTTTCCTTTATATGTAATCTTATTTCTCTCTCTGACTTCTTTCAATAGTCTGTCTTTATCCTTGATCTTTGCCATTCTAATTACTATATGTCTTGATGTTTTCTTCCTTGGGTCCCTTGTGTTGGGAGATCTGTGCACCTCCATGGCCTGAGAGACTATCTTCTTCCCCAGATTGGGGAAGTTTTCAGCAATTACCTCCTCAAAGACACTTTCTTTCCCTTTTTCTCTGTCTTCTTCTTCTGGTACCCCTATAATGCTAATATTGTTCTGTTTAGATTGGTCACACAGTTCTCTCAATATTCTTTCATTCTTAGAGATCCTTTTTTCTCTGTGCCTCAGCTTCTTTGTATTCCCCTTCTCTAATTTCTGTTTATCATCTCCTCCACACCATACCTAATTTGCTTTTAACACCCTCCATTGTGCTCTTCCATGATTGGATCTCTGACCAGAATTCATTCCTGAGTTCTTGAATATTTTTCTGTACCTCCATGAGCATGTTAATGATTTTTATTTTGAAATCCCTTTCAGGAAGATTTCATGAGATTGATTTCATTTGAATCTTTCTCAGGTGTTGTATTCATAATTTTACTTTGAACCAGATACTTTTGGCATTTCATATTTGTATATGGTGCCCTCTAGTGCCCAGAAACTGAATTCTCTGTAGCTGCTCAGCCCCTGAAGGGGATCACAGGGTTCAGTATTGGTGCCTGGGGGGAGGAAAGAACTGTTTCCGGCTTTCTGGCTGCTATGCCTGCCTCCACTACCAGAACCGTTGGGCCAAGCACACAGGTACAAGCCTCTATGCTTTGCATTTGTAGTTGCTGTAGATGGGGCTTTCCTCTGACTGGGCTAATGCCAGGGTAGGTTTTGCTGGTTTGTGAGCCAGGTGGGGCTGGCCGGGAGAAAGGCTCAGTAGGCTGCTTATCACTGAGGGTTCCTTGGAACTGTGTAGTTAGCCAGGGAGCTGAAGTGCCTGAAGATTGAGAAAGTTCCCAACATGCTGGGCAGAGTGCACCTGGACAATTTTGCCTATCTTTTCTTTCTCCTGAGGAGTAAGATCTGTGCAATCCTTACCCTTTAGCAGTCCTCTTGCTATTAGGAAGTCTCTCAGACTGCCCGCCTTTCTTTTGTCCCAGAGCAACTGGATATGGATCCCTGCTTTCCAGAAGCAGCTGGACTCTCAGTCTCTCTAGGTGTTCTGCCTGTCTTAGCTTTCCAACCACCTAATCATGAGTACCATGAAAGCACCATGAAATGTAGGTTTGTGCTCCCAGAGCAGATCTCTGGACTTAGGCATTCAGCATTCCCAGGCCTCCACTCCCTCCCTGCTCCATTTCTCTTCCTCCCACTGGTGAGCTGGGGTGGGGAACGGCTTGGGTCCCACCGGCCCATGGCTTTGGTACATTACCCTGTTCTGTGAGATTTATTATTTTCTCCAGGTGTATGCAGTTTGGTGCAGCTCTCCTTCTTGCTGCCCTTTCAGGATTAGTCATATTGATTATATTTTCATATTATATGCTGTTTTAGGAGGAAGCTTGTATCTCACCTCTCACGCCACTATGTTTAATCCTCCAAAAGTATTAATATTTACTTTTCCTTACTGCCTTGTATTTATCTGTCCTCAACTACTTTTCCAAATTTTCTGCAGCAACTATACTCATTTATTTTATGCTCTTGTCACATGTATTGCTTACTTATTTGAACACATATCATGGTACATTTATTAGCATATCCCAAAGGAGACATAATTTTATTCTTTAGTAATATATAACTTAAACTTATGGCTACTTGTGATGAAAGGCTATAATTTATTCATATGCAATTGGGTATATCCTTTACAGAAAAATTTTATGAGTTATCATTGAGATATGTTTTTAGACCATATTGACAATAGTATAATGCTTGGCTATAGGACACAGGGGGATATAGTGACAAAGAAAATTTGTGAAAAATGAAGGGAGGAATACAGAAAAACTCTAACCCATAATTCTTACATGTACCAAGATTTTTCCAAAAGGTTATTTTTTTTTGATAATACATGTATATACAAAAATAAATTACATATGCATTTAATTTTCCTTTATCCATATAAATAAGAAAAAGAACTTTTGTGTTTGGCGCATAACCTAGAATTCTATGGATCATAACCATCTCTTTATAATTCCATTTTGATCACAGCATAGTGAGATAGCATGAGGTCTAACATGTTGAAAGATATGTAGGCATGTTAAATTTAATCCTATATTTCCTTAGACTATCTAGTCTGTCTTGATGGAAGGCACATGTTCATAAGGGTAATAAGTAGACAAATAAAGAACTAGAAGGTGTATTAAAGGTATTTTGGTTTTACTTGTTTCTTATTTCTTTCTTTTACGTTCTTATGTTTCTTCCTTGTTAAAACAGTTTTGGTATGAACCATGATGGAATTGGAAATTCTTGTGGGACGAAAGACCATGAAGCAGCAAAACTTATGGCAGCTCACATTACTGCAAACACCAACCCTTTCTCCTGGTCTGCCTGCAGCCGAGACTACATCACCAGCTTTCTGGAGTAAGTAGTCTCTGGGGAGTGACAAGCTGCTCCAGAAGTAGGCTGTGGGCAGAGGCCTAACATGCAGTGCTTCAAACTTTGCATAATGACTAACTTTTATAGGGCCCAGATATTTTAGGCTGTTCCCCAAATACTTTAGCATATCATTGTGGCAATTTTTTTCCTTCCTATGCAAACAGAACTTACTGAGCGGGTTAGAGGAACTAGTGGGACCAAAGATGTAAGTGGGACTGATGGTGTGTCAGGAATGCTTGATAAACGGGAAGCAACATCAGAAAGAATATGACTTACGTATCTTAATAGAACATAGACCACACTTTAACTCAGTGATTATATATGTCATTTTGTTGTTGAAAAAGCTCAGTTCTATAGGAATGTCAAGGTTCTAATAGTAGCAAAAAACAACAACAACCAAAAAAGCAAACACCTGGTAAATGAAATTTATTAAGGGACTCATCTTTTCTATAGTTTGGCGACTTCTTTGCCAGTCCTTTGATGCGTATTGCAAAAGTCTGGTTATTTAAATGTAGAGAATATAAATTAGCTCAGGTATTTGATCTGTTTTAGGAAAGCAGAGGTCCTTCTACATCTCACTTGCATAGCACATCGGACTGGACTTTGGAAGCTGATAGACTTAGTCCTCCTTTCTAACTCTGTGACCTTGGGGGCAGCTCTTGATCTTCCTAATCTTCAGTGATCTAGATTTATTAAAATGAGCTAAGGGAATGATTCATACATCATTAGGTTTTTATGTATATAATTATGTATAATGCTATTCTGTTTATAAAATACTTGCTGGATATTCATTAAGTTGTAAATATTTTAAATAGTATTGAAGCCTTAAGCTTCATTGTTCTATCATTACTTTCAACTATTTTGTGCCCCTTTTTTTCTTGGGGTGGAGAGATTAAATACTCTGAGAAAGTCATACATAAAGCACAGGTGAGCAACAGAAATTCTTTTTAAAATCTGTCCTTGTTCAAAGTTCTTATTAATGTGATTATGGTGTAAAAGTTTTAAAATTCAGATAGGTTATATAGGATAGCATTATTCAGTAAGTCTGTTCATATCTGCTAATAGCCAGATCAAATTCTGAAAACTTATATATTTTTTAAAAGTCCAAACAATAGATTTTAATTATCTAGCACGATGCTTTGCTCAAAGATCAAAAAATAATCATTTAAAATGGGCTCCTTTGAATTATTTAATGTGATAATGAAGGTAAAGGAATTGAAAATTCATTTAACAATGTTGTTCTTCTGAAAAACTGTAATATAACCTAACAATTTTTATTCTTAGCAATAGATAATTTTAGCACTGTACTTGCCCAGTGCCAAAACTGGGTGAAGGGCTGTAAAAGAAAGACCACAGAGCATTTGTTTGACATCTTTTGGTGGTTTTTTAACACCAAGTACTGGCAATATCATTTTCCAAGATGTTTTTAATGACATCATAGTACCTAAATTTTAAACATTGTTGAAGATCTGCTCTCTCCAGAAATCAAGGCCAGACCTGAATGTCTCCTTAAATTGGCTCATGTTCTTATAATGGAATTTTAGTGTCTATCACCAGAAAGACAAACTGTGTAACATACTCAATATTCCTGTGCATTTTTGAAGGCTTCCTTCCTCTTGTTTTTTCAAGTAGCATTTTCTTTCTCCTCTATCCTGTTTCTATTGCGTATCCCATTTGCTAGGACTGTCTCTGTTTGCTAAATACAAGGGCCAGTTTTAATTTCTTGCCCAGACCCTGCCAAGTTGAAACTGTGTTAAAGCTGTTAAGACACTCAAAAAGGGAATCTTTACATTATGATAAATACAGTTAAGAAATCACCACTGGTTTGGTGAGAAATGTAAAATTATTACTAGTTGCAAAAAAGTGTTCAAATTAATTAAAAGCAGTAATCCACAAAGCATTAGTTAAGCCTTATTATCCTATGCATTTTGGATGTAAACATGATTAGTGTTGATAGGGTTCTAATGATCTTATTTATTCTATATTCTATAAAAATATTTCTGTTGCGCATCCTTACGGGAATGCTCACAAAATTAAAAGCATTATTAAAGGATAGATATGAAAGACCATGGGTAGAGATTTGGGGGAAAGTTGGCTTTTTGTTCCCTTTTAAATGATAAACCAAACAACTCTGATTACAATCTGACCAAGCAATAAAGGTTTTTTAAACACAACGCCCTTTAAAAAGGTCAGTTCACTGGAGCAAAAAGACATAATAGTAACTTTCTTGAACTTCTTTGTTCTTTTTATTAATGCAGTGGACTTAATTGTTTTAACAGCTACACGTGATATTTTTTAAAAATCCAGCGATATTTTGATCAGGGATTGAGGTTACATTTATGTTTTATAGTTGGCTCAAAGAGACTCATAACATTTTATTTTAGTTTCTCTTCTCAAGAAAAAGAAATCTTGAAAGATGAATTGTTTAGGAACTGCAGGCCAGCCAACAAAATGCATACCTTTCTCTACTTAGTGACTATATAGGCCAAAGATGATGGTGGATTTTAACAATGAGCTTTCTATGATTTATAGAGATTCACTATTCACTATGTTCAGCTGAAAACAATTCCAAGGCTTTTAAATGCCAGTAGAGTAAAAAGTCTCCTGTGTCATTCTGAAACACTAGGTGCTATTGATCAATCAGGAGATGGTGTTTACCAACTCCCAATATTTTTTTTCAGATTTCTTAAGCTGGGTGATTCAATAAGTGGTTCATGAATCGCCAGAAGCCGTCCTGATTAAATAATAAAGAACTATTTCCCTTAAAATGGACGTGTTTTGCCAGCTTCTGATGTTTTCGACGACAGCTTTGCAGGTAGTGTCTTTCCTATCTGCCTGCGGGACTTATTTATTTATTTACTTATGTAGAAAACAGGTGAACCTGGTATTATGGTTCACACTCATTGATGACAATGGGCTTAATTTACCAGGCAGCCAGAAGGAACTGAGGCCAGTTTTTCATATATTTTCCACCATTTAGCAGTAGTACAGAGTAATTTCATATAGTTTTCAAAATTTCTGTGGCCTCTGTGAATCAACTCATGCTTTATTTCAAGTCTGTTAAATTGTTTGAACTGTCAGAGATTCATAGCAAAATGTTCTACAGTTCCAAATTAAATAGATTGGTCACTTTCACAGAAAAGATAGAAGCTCACAGAAGAGAGGCAATACTATGGTTGAGGGCTAACTGGGAAGAAAGGTGAGCGCAGAGCTTCAAGAGAAGGAGTGTAACATGAACAGACGGCCACGGCACTCATGGTTCCCCGGCAGCGATTACTTTGAAGGTCAATACCAGTGATCTTTGGACAGAACACAGTTTTACAGATGGGACCCTTTTTGTATGTAGAACTCAGGAAACAGCTTCACTGAACAGGTTTCTCCTCCTTCCATTTATCTGACATGTTCTGGGGACTTCATTCTAACTGTGACTATCTTTGATAAGTCATACTTACATATGGAGAAAAAAGGCGTAACTGCACAAACTATTGTCAGTATGGTGTTGGTATATTGGAAACCTCAAATTCAGTTGTATTCAAGTATCCTAGTTATACAGTGGGAGAGAGAGAAAGGTCTGACCTACAGTAACTCATTTTACAATGTAATGTGGTGTTATTTTTGTGAAGACTGATAGATAGGTCAGTTTGTGAGAACATTGCAGCAAGGCATTTAACTTGCCATAGATGAAGCAACCTAATCCAGCTTTTTCTTACTCTAGGTATGTTAGTACAATTTTTTGGCGAGAAATAGGAGATGGCATTAAATCTTAATTTTTTCTTTTTGTTGTCAAACGACTGTTAGGATAGGTACAGGGTAATATAGGAAGATTTATTTTTTTCATTGACCCACCGTGTTCTTAACTGAAGGTCTGTACTTTATGGCATAATTGTTTAAATGCAATATAAATCTAAAATTACAATTAGGAGTATCTCCTCCTGTGTTCTAGAAACAAAGCCAAGGAAGCATACTTTACATAGGGATCTGTAAATTTTAGTCGAAGACTCAACTCTTGCTCATGTTCCTATTTTCAAGGCTAATTTTTGAACTATGTAAATAAGACTTCTGTAAATTAGAGGTAGAATACATAAAACATGACTTTGCTATCATGCCACAAGGATTTCTGGAAATGTAAATATACTTTGATTTACTTAGAATTTCATAACCAAGGAGAAAGAACGTTCTCAAAGTAATACATGCTTTTCTTTTTTGACTTGTCTTAGAAGCATAAACAAATGTAGATTCTGTGAATTCAATAATTATTTGTGCTTTAGGTTGTGAAATATATGCTGCTAGAGAAATGATCCAAGTTCTATTTTTTATTTATAGTTTTGCTCGAGAAGTATATTCATGCTTAACAATAGTAAATCACATAGCATTTCATAGATGGAAACTACTAACAGAGTTTTTCATTTCATTTATTAATGAGTGAAGTTTACATTTTCTGAGTGGAAAAATTCACATATGACGAAAGTACAAACCATCTGTGCTTAACGGTGGCATTTGATGAGAAAATTCAAGAAGGTATATATGTATCTCTCACTTCTATTATTATTTTGGTAATAGTAGCATAAATAACACCAGGATCAGTGTCGGAATTGTATGGTATATTGAATAGCTAGAACCTTAGATTAATTAAAAATTACAACATCTATTTGCTAAATGGATTCAATTACAAAATATAAAAAATAACTTGTACTTAATATTTTAAGAAAGGAAACATTTATACCAGAAGACGGGTATAAAAATGTTCATATCAACATAATTTTCAACTTCCAGAAATTAAAAATAATCCAAATGTTTGTTAATAGAAGGATGGCTAAATACTTGTGGCATAATCTTAAATGGAATATTAAAGAATAACATAAATGAACAAGCTATAGTTATCAACATGAATGTACTATTTTCACGTTCATTATATTGAGCAAAAGAATAAAGTCACGTGAGAAAACCTATAGTATGACTCCTTTTATATACAAAAAACAGGCAGATGAATAATTGGGAGATGAATAATTACTAAGGAAATTATTATTTTAAAAATCAGAATATTAGTTACTTGTTGGGGAGAAAGAGAGGGATATGATTGGAGTTGAGTACTTGGGAATTTTCTATGAAAAAGAAAAGCACTTCTAGGATTAAGTGTGCATATCTCAGATCCATGTTCTTTATCTTTAATACCTATATCTGTGATAGTTCATAAAGGTAATTGATGACTCAGAGGCTTAGAAATATCCAGAATTATTACTTTCTAAGAGTTAATTAATAATTAGTTATTGTGATCTGTAGATTTAATTTACTTAAAAGTAGCAGACAAATTTTTGAAACAAAATGCAAAAAGTATTTTTGTCACTTAACCCTCAGTTAAGAATAAAAATATGAAAACAACCCACCCCCAAAATACTTTAATCAAGATTTTACTGTATATGCCAGATATGGTTACTAGGAGGAAAATATATAGTACACTTGCTACCCAAAATGTGGAAACAATTTAAATCAATCTTGCGGATACCATCGCATTTACTTTCCTGGAACCAGTAGCAGTAGGTAAGACAATTAACTTGCAACAATTGGTAATTTGTTCAAACATAGATGAATCCATTTCAAAAAGGCTTTGTTGATGCCATATTCCTAAGGGATATGGCAGTTTTTAAAGACCTATATGTTCAGTTTTTAAAGACCTATGTGATTTTTTCCACATGGTATTTTATTTGTCTGTAAAAATACTAGAAAAGGAGGACAAGATTTGTCTAGATATTTAATTAGTCCACATTAATAAAAAAATCATAGGTACTTCCGAAGAACTGGAAAAAAAAAATCCACTTTTGCAATAAACTTTGTCAGAAGAATTTCTCCACTGGTGACCATAATGTACGGCATTCTTTGTTGTTTGAAGGCCCTTGGAATGGTCATCTGACTTGGTATTTTTTAATAAACATGAACCATGATTAGAAGACCATAGGAGCAGGAACTTTAAATAAAGTAATTATTCTTGCTTCCTTCTGGGTTAAGCAAGTTTTCGGTTTGCTATCAGGAAAGAAATTTTTCCTTGGAGTATGGTATCTATTCTTAAAATCTTTTTTGAAGTCTACATAGTTCTTCCTCTAAGTTTTTAAGCTAATTATTTTCTGTATTACTGAAAGTAATCATATATGATAATTTTTAATAGATTTGGAGTTGGTGCCACTTGGTTGAATGTATTTTATACTTTGTTATGCTCTTGGCAAGTATTTTTATCTATAGGATACTGTACTTAAGTACTTAAATTTTTCACATTGATTTATAATAATACTTAACTTGATTTTTAATTTTCATTATATATTTAACTCCTTTCATGAAAACGTTTGTAATTTTGTTGTAGATAGAGATGAAACTGATATTCAGAAGAAAAATTAGAAAATTAAACTACTCATCTATTTGTCATTCAAATAAACATTCCATTTTATCAAAATGGCCTGTCTTTTTTCATTATACTTTTTACATTTGACCTCATTATCATTAACCTTAATATATAATTTTGATTTACTAGTAGAATTACATTTGCCTAAAATTTGTACATCCATTTGGATTGAAGATATTTTACATAATGGAGTAAAAAGAACTTGCTATTTTAAAAATTCACCTAGAAGTAATTTTTCTTACTGAAATACATGTCAATTCCTAAAAATACAATGAACAGAAAACAGAAGTGTTCTGTCATGTAAATGGAAAACTGGGTGAAAAAAAGTTACCTATTAGACACTCAGAACAGTGACAAATCAAATGGCTTTAGTAGTCAATAATAAAATCAAACTATATTAGTACAACATTTAATTTCAATCTATGTATTTTTGTACTTATTAAAGATTAATCAAGAAGGGTGTTAAAGGGTATAAAGAAGATGTATTCTGTCCCTTGGGTCTTTATCTATCATCTTATGAATAGTATGGTTCAACTTTTGAAAGGTATTAATTTGCTGATGTGCAAATATACATTTTTATATAGCAAATTAACATTTATATTTTAAGAGTATGATAAAATTTTAAGTGCATATGAAACTCATTATTATGCGTGGTTCTTTCTTACTTAACTATAAATGAAATTTATACTGTCCTAAATAATAGTTGAGGAACTTCTACTTGTGAAATTATTTGCCTTTGGCAAAGTGGATGGAAAAGATTTGGAAAAAAAAACACAAGTACTGGCACAATTGACAGGAATGTTGGAAAAAATTTTTAAATGTTGGCATAGGAATTCTTTAAAAATTCTAAGTTACATGTGAAATGAAAGTAAAAAAGCATCTGTGCTATTTTATGCACACTGGCTAAATAAAAATGAACATTTGTATTTAGCAAAGTATAAAGCTCTTTAAACTAAGGTATTCTGTCAAACTTTTGGCAATCTTTATGTTATTTGTTCCACTGCATTAAAATATTATGTTTGAGTGCAAGTATACTTTGAAAAGCAGAAGTTATAGAGAGGAGAACATTCTCTTTTCCGACTCTGATGACCCTGGATGAAATATGAAATTTTTGACAGACTAAATACTTCTAATATACTCGAGAGGAGAAATTCAGGTCTTAGCCTCATCTGTCACTCAGCCCATTTATTATTGAAATACTTCAAGAACCTTTGGACATGTCTTACCACAGCATCTATTGTTCTGCCTGAGATGGAAGTATATAGATTAGGTCTTTAAGAATTATAACCACAATTTTTTTTTTCATTTTCCACATTTTGTTTTCAATTCTACTACCAGATGTGGTTGTATTTTCACTGAAAACAAACAAGCTTAGAGCAATATGAAATTCTGTTTGATTACTTCAGAAATTAGTTTAAAACAGTGTTTTTAGGCCAAGATGACATTTTCAGATTGTTGTCTGAGATGTTTTGATTGTGTCTTGGTGCTGGACAAAACTATGGGAGCTCTGCTTCAGGTTTCAGTAGAGCTATTCTATTTTGCCACGTGATTATTTATTGGTAGAATGTATTGTTTCTCATGCATCAAGTTATTAAAACACAGAGCTAAACTCATGGTTTCATAATTGTGACTGAAATAGTCCATAGTGTACCTAATTTCCTTTGATCCTTTATGTTGAACAGTTCAGGCCGTGGTACTTGCCTTGATAATGAGCCTCCCAAGCGTGACTTTCTTTATCCAGCTGAGGCCCCAGGTCAGGTGTATGACGCTGATGAGCAATGTCGTTTCCAGTATGGAGCAACATCCCGCCAGTGTAAATATGGGGTAAGAAGTCTTAATCCTTCTATTTAGTCACTTATCACTGTTCCTTCAGGACACCAATGTTAAGATGGAATTTTGATGAATGTAGTTTACCTCTGGTAACATCATTAATGCAAATATAGCCCTTGACATTTCTCCTTTTCTGTTATAATTTGTATAATATCTATTCCTAAAGTTTGAGCAATCCTAAATTAAACAAGCTTCAGATGTCTTGTGAGAGATGCAGGTAGAATGTTGTATCTGTGTATTTCTTCATTAAGTCCTGAGTTTATGATGCCAACCTTAGTCTGCCTTTTGAAATGTTATGGTTTTGAAACCTCCCTCTACCACACTTTCTCTGGTACTCTAATAATTGGATTAAGGTCATTTTTACATTGGCCAAGAGCCTTTACTTTAATACATACTTTCTAGTACTGAATCATTTCAAGTTGCTGCATTCTAACACAACAATGAATGGGGACAAGATGACATTAACCCAAATAGAGAAATAAGGAAAATTGCTGTAAAAAAAAAAATGTAGGTATCACTCTTCCTGTCTGCTTAAAAAAACTCTCAGTGTCTAACTCAGAGAATATATTAAAACATTCTTCTTAAGTTTCATAGAGAGAAATTTCAGCATCTAGCATAGGGATATATTCATCACAGGTGCTCAGTATAAGCATGTTAATGAAAGAATAGGATTTTTAAATGACAAATTGTTAAAACATATTCAGGTTTAAAAAATAAGTTTAAAGGCTTGGTTACTATTTTTATGCTAATAGTGCTTTTAAAACCTTTTTAAAAAATAAACAGTAAAAGGAATTAAGTTTTAAGGTAGTTAATAGTAAACAATACAACACTGTACTGTACCAATTATTCCTCTTTGACACAGTACAAAGGAAAGTGATTTTGTAAATATCCCTGTTGGGTGATGAATATATTCTTATTCATGGTAGGCACTGGCAGCACATTTTGTGCACTAGATTTAAAGATTGTGCACAACCATCTGAATATCAAAAGCCTTGAGTGAAACTTTGGTCTTTCTTGCATCTCTGTAAAAAATCTTTATTTCTATTATTATTTCTTTATGGTTGTAGTCACTTTTTTTCTTGGGTTGCTTTTCCCTCAGAAAAAGTTGGTCAAACTTTAATCAGTCTTTGTATATACTCGTAGCGTAGTAGTTTGCAATTCATGATCAAATGAGATACAGATTTTCTGTTAGATTATTCTTAACTGTGGCCATTCATTTCTTTCTTAACAAGTGAAATAGTTAATCTGTATTTTGGTTTTTCTATTGGAACTTGGGTTTTAACTCCACCTATATATTTCTGTATTAGATAATTTATATTATCACTTTTACAGTCTCTAAAATTTTTAAAGTTTTTAATGATGTATTTTTTCCTTCTGAATAAATTAATAAAAATTTTGACCTGATTATCCTATCTGTATATCAGGATATTCATTTCAGACTAGTTGGTTTGATGTGAGATAAATAGTGATAGTGAAATTGTGTCCTTCTAGTTTATGTCCTTACATTCGACTTTTAAGTATTATTTCTTTATGTGTTATTTTTATAAAAACTTTTATAATAGGTATAAAATAGAATTGGAAAACTTGGGGAAAGACATTAGTGTCTTAAAATCCCCATACAACTCCGCATATTTTATTAATTTTTCACTTTGATTTGCATCAAAATGATTTCCTTAGATTCATATACTATATGAAAATGCTTATGGCATTAAAAAATATTATATATTGCTAACAAGGTTTCTGGAGTCATAATAGATTCTTTACAGTCACTCCCATCTCTTAAGTTTATGCCTGAAAAATTAGGTTTAAACAATTGATAGCATCCTAGCACCCATCATATTTTGTCTGGCGAATCTCTAAAGTTTTAAATGATTCTCAATACTACTTTAGAAAACAGTACTGGCTTTGAAGGCAGGCATCCAGTCAGATAAACAACCTGCTTCAGATGGTAGCCTAAGGAAAAACAAACCAGCCCTGATTTAGATGGCTGTCTTGACTGTAGCATCCCGAGATGAACGCTAAACACACACTCTGGCGGCTTAGAAGAGCACCATACCTTGGTTGCAGTGAGGGGATATTTCTCATGTTGAAGCATCACGAAATAATCCCTCTTTCAACTAGCAGGTCTTTACTGCACAACAACATTTTTTACTATTATCCTTGAAATCATCCATTTATGTTTTCCAGGTATTCCTAAATTCCAGTGGAAGTGAGATTGTAATGGCTATAAATACAAATAACAAAACAGTACAGTGCAACATACAGAGTAATATAATGTAATAATTTATAAATGATATATAATTTCTGGTGTTTACATTGTTCCTTTTTTCTGAGATACTTCAGACTGCTTAGATAAAGATTGCAATTATCTAATAATATTTTAAAGATTAGGAAACTAAAAATTCAGAATGTGATTTACCCACCCCAGGGTTAAAAAAAAAATTGAAACAGTCTAAATCTGTCACTCCCTGTTCTACTAGATATAGTAAATATATTAATAAAATAAAAGTAGCAGATATATTTTATTTCAGGAGCTGCTTTTTATCAATTTTCATCAGATGATTTTAGATTCTTTTAGTTCTTCTCAAAACTCTCCATCTCGTCCCAGTCTTTTTTGGGAGAGAGGTGATCAGGAGAACTTCCCTAAACTTATTTTCAGGCTTATAAATTCTCAAGTGTCTGAAAATCTGAGTCTTGGATGTAAGTTTTATTTTCTTTCACCTTACATAAAAAGTTAGGACCTCTTCAAGGTAAGACAGCAGTATAGACAAGCAGTATACAAAACAAGATCCTACTAGATCATCTAAAAAATTTTGCTAGCTCTATTAGCAGGTTTCTAGGGGGCTTTTGATATATCCTGGATGAAAATGCATTGCACATAAAGTAGTATCAGTTTGTCCAAAATATATTTCTGTGCCTATTTAGAGGCAGATTGCTTCCTGTAAAGCTCTGTAGAATCTATTATCTCACTCCTCTTCCACTTCCAAGAGTTTCCCCTTTCTCAGTAGAAGAGAACTGCTAAAGCTGTATTAACAAAAAGCATTTTACAGTAATAATAATAATAAATTTAAACTTCGGATGCAAGTCACTAATGTGCCTGTGGGTAATCTTTTGACTGCTTTCTAAAAGCACAGATTAATTCAGGGCTTAGTCTCAGACATAGCTACATATTTCCTCATTTCGTCACTTTGAACAATATCCCAAACATCATTTTCAAATATACTAAATGGTTCACTATAGCTTAACAATATTCAGTATATAATTTACTGGTAACTGTCAAGAGATGATTACCCAATGGCATTTTTTAACACAAATAGAAAAAATAATCCTGAATTCACAAAGACCCTGAATAGCTGAAGCAATCCAAAGTTGGTGGCATCACACTTCCTGATTTCAAAATATATTCCAAAGCTATAGTAATCAAAATAGTATGGCAGTGGCCTAAAAATAGATTACAGACCAATGAAACAAAACAGAAAGCTCAGGAATAAACCCATGCATAAATGATCAACTGATCTTCCACCAGGATGCCAAGAATGTACAATAGGGGAAGGATAGTCTTTTCATCAAATAGTGTAGGAAAAATTGGGTGTCCACATGCAAAAGAATGAAACTGGACTCTTATCTTATACCATACACAAAAACAAACTAAAAGTGTACTAAAGATTTAAATGTAAGGCCCAAAACTATAAAACTCCTAGAAGAAAACAGAGGGAAAAAGATGCTTGATTTTGGTCTTGGCAATGATTTCTTGGATATGACATGGAAATCACAGATAACAAAAGACAGGTGGAACTACCTCAAACTAAAGAGCTTATGCACAGCAAAGGGAACAGCCAACAAAATGAAAAGGCAATTTACAGAATGGGAGAAAATATTTGCTGTATTTTACAAAAAATAAAAATATTATAAAATATATCTGATAAAGTTTAATGTCCAAAATATATGAGCAACTCCTACAATTCAGTAGCAAAAAAACAACCCCAATTAAAAAATAAGCAAAGGAACTGAATAGACATTTCTCAAAAGAAGACATACAAATGGCCAACAGGTATATGAAAAGGTTCTCAACATTACTAATGATCAGGAAAATGCAAACCAAACCACAATGAGATATCACCTTATACCTGTTAGGATAGTTATTATAAAAAAAAAAACAAAGTAAGTGTTGATAAGGATGTGGAGAAAAGTGAACCCTCATACCCTGTTGGTGAGAACTGGTGCAGCCACTATGGAAAACAGTCTAGAGGTTTCTCAAAATTAAAAATAGAACTACTATATGATCAGTAACCCCTAGTTGTATATCCACTTCTGGGTGTATATCCAAAGAAATTAATATCAGGACCTCAAAGAGATAGGTGTACTCTCATATTGATTGCAACATAAGTCACAATAGCTAAGATATGGAAGCACCCTAAACATCCATTGACAGACAAATGGATAAAGAAAATGTAGCACTTATATACAATGGCATATTATTCAGTCTCAAAAGGAAGGAAATCCTGCCATTTGTGACAACATGGGTGAACCTCAAAGACATTGATGCTAAGTGAAATAAGGCAGGTAAGGAAAGACAAATACTGCATGAGGAATCTACTTACATGAGTAGTCTAAAATAGTCAAACTCACAGAATGAGAGAGTAGAATGGTGGTTGCCAGTGACTGGGGGAAATGGAGAAATGGGGAGGCATCAGTCAAAGAGTACACAGTTCAGTTTTGCAGGATGAATAAATTCCAGAAATCTGTATAGCACAGTGCCTGTAGTAAGCAATACTGAACCATATACTTAAAATTTCCAGCAAGGTATATCTTAGTTAAGCATTATCATCCCCCCCCCACAATAATAATCAATAAGGATAATAGGAAGAATCTTTGAAGGTGATGAGTATGTTTATGGCATAATTCATGGTGATGTATACATATCTCCAAATTCACCAAATTGTATATGTTAACTATATAGTTTTTGTATGTCAATCATACCTCAATAAAGTTGG